CTAGGGGACACAAACTGGTCTAGGACTGAGAAAACAATAGTTGAAAACAATAGTTGAATACAATAGTTGAATACAATAGTTTGTACTATAAACATGTTTGCTTGACTTTCTATCTATTATTTAAAATTTAAATCATTTACTATTTTACTAACTATTTCGAAATTCGTGTTTTTGATAGACTTCAGTGGGCAATTTCTGTTCAGGGGACGTGGTAATTCAATCATGTGAAATCGGGGACACATGAGAAAACCAGTTGAAAACCGTTGCTCTATGTACATAATGAATCATAGGAGTTATACATCTGACACATCGCGTATGCATTGCAAACAAATTTTTTCACCGCTGAGTTGAAACGATCATCAATTTTTGCCTGATATACAAGTAGGGTGAGGAGAAATTTAACAAATATGTAAATGTAGTACTTAGAATGCAGGAAATGACATTCAAGGCTTCAAATTGTAGTTAATCGCAGAGCGAAGATGCAGGACAAGAACGGTACCCTATTTATAAAAAACAAAAGCGACTTACTTTGGCAACGGTTCTTTATCCCAGTTGACTCCCCAAGCAGATCCTTCTTTGAAAGCTCTTGTCAACATTCTCTTCAAGTGATTCTCTGTAATGTCCTTATGTTCTTCTGTTTCGCATTGATCAAACGCACGTTGGACATAGTCCCTAGAGACGATGGGACATTACTGGTTACGAACAGACATAGAGATTGATAGGGATACAACTACCTGGTAATTACAAGGAAAATTTCAACGCTTCAAGCGAATTCAAGGCGTTCGTCAGGAAGTTAGAACGTCGAAGTTCTCCTTGTATTTTTGAGGTATAGTAGTATCTTTATGAATCTGTAGTTTTCTTAGTATTGAACTGTGGCAGAAACGTCGCAAAATATTGAGGGCACATTGAGAGTTAACTTGGCAATGAATGATATAGATCTGTAGAGAATATAGCTGTATTTACTTTAAACTTGGTGGCCAGTCTTGTGGAGAAATTTTAGGAGTGTTATTGTTATCTTCTTGCATTTTCTCAGGTTGACGATAATTCTTCATCTTTTTGGCAACTGGTGCACTTTTTTCTTCAGATTCCCAACTAGGCTTCAACACTGCAAGTATATTAAATATATATAAGAAATTGAACTTTCATACACTTGAAGTCCAAACTCCAAAGTCACACGAAGTGAGATAAGTAAAGATCAAGGGAACTCTCTATTCATGGGGTGGAGACTTTTGTAGTGGAGTGGGGTGAAGATTTTTCATAGAGGGGGTGGGGTGAAGATTTTTTGTAGTGGGGTTGAATTGAGATTTTTTGTAGTGGGGTTGGGTGGAGATTTTTTAAAGAGGGGGATGCGGTTGAGATTTTTTATAATGGGGTGAGATGAAGATTATTTATAGTGGGGGTGAGGTTGAGATTTTTTATAATGGGGTGGGGTAAATATTTTTTAGAGAGGGTGGGGAGAGATTTTACATGGAGGGGTAGGGTAGGGGATTTTTTAGAGGGGATTTGGTAAAGATTTTTTACAGTGGAGTAGAGATTTTTTCCGGGGTGCATATTTTTCAGGAGATTACATTTTCTCAGGGCAGTGGATATTTTTCAGGAGAAAGCACAATCGATAGGATTGCAGAGAGTTTGTTAAAGAGGGGGATAAGGTTGATTTTTTATAATGAGGTGGGGCAAATAATTTCTTATAGTGGGTGTGAGGTTGCGATCTTTTATAATGGAGTGGGGGTAAATAATTTTTAGAGAGGGTGGGGAGAGATTTTACATGGAGGGGTAGGGTGTGGATTTATAGAGGAGATTGGGTTGAGATTTTTTACAGTGGGGTAGAGATTTTTTACAGTGAGGTAGAGATTTTTTACAGTGGGGTAGAGATTTTTACAGTGGGGTAGAGATATTTTACAGTGGGGTAGAGATTTTTCAGGGGACTACATTTTCTCAGGGCAGTGGATATTTTTCAGGCGAGCACAATTGATAGGATTGCAGGTTTTTTCAAAAGTGCAGATTTTTCAATTTGATCACAAAAAAGCACAACTAGGAAATTGAGCAACTCTGTAGCTTCAAGGCAGACAAACCTTGCCTTTCTTCTGTAACTCTGTAGCTTCAAAGCAAACAAACATTCATACCTGGAGACTGCTCTCTTCTTCCACCCATCCAAAATGGCTGTTTTTCATAAGGCTGTTTCTCATATGGCTGTTTCTCATATGGCTGTTTCTCATATGGCTGTTTCTCATATGGCTGTTTCTCATAAGGCTGTTTTTCATAAGGATTTTCGTTTTTGACAATGCTGGCATATGATGGTGTTGGATCAATCTGCTGTTCACTTTGATGATCCTTTTCAATACTCTTCTACAAGTACAAAAACTTTCATTTAATTGTAGATCACACAAATCTTGCAGACTGGGACTTTCTGTAAACAGTATGTTTTGCAGACCCTAGACTGGCTGATTGAAAAACGCTCTAGGTCTAGTTCTATTGACAGTATAGTGTGAGGCAGTTTCTACAAAAAAACGAAAATTGACCAGAAAAAAACGGGGGGAAATATGGTAAAAAAGACACAACACGCTACTCAGTACTCACACAAGATATTAAACGTAAGGTATTTTGAAGATGTTATCAAATTTCAAACAAAATCTCTTTAGTTTTTTGTGTGTAAATACCAAAACTTGATTCATTTGCAACATTTGCCCTGGTTTTGTCAGTTTTTCTCCAAAAGTAACATCGAGTATTTTGGTTTTCAAAAAACATCGGGTTTACTGAAAAACCACCTCACCATATGACAGTAGCAGTTGTTCTACCTTGAAATGTACCATAAGTGTTGTATACAAGATGTGATAATCTGTATTTTGGCATTGTAAACCGAGAGCAACGGCTAAAACGTCCGTGGGATTTTAATTGTTCATTTCTTCTCATTTTCTTGTAATTAATATGATATTATTAGCTGTCCTTGTTGCACTTTCGTCCAAATTGTTGAGGTTCTTAATAACAATAGTTCTTTATAATTATAAAAGTGTGAAATTTAAGGCGGTTTCTTGTCAATTTATTAGGCTGTTTCTTGTTGCAAAACACACTGTTTCCCCAGTCAATAAGTGTTAAACATCTTTAGTTTGCAAGATGTTGTCATACCAAGTTTGTGTATGCTTACATTTCTTGCATTTATCTGTTGGCTAAAATTTGTGACTTATTCAGTAACTTGATTTATGTATTACTCACTTGTGGCTGATACATATTATCTCGAACGCTTGGTGCATATGTATTATTATATTTATTATTTGCTGAGACGTTGAATGTCTCTGATTGAGGCAGCCGAGGTGATCTTTGGTCAACTTGCATCGGACTTGTTGGATTCTGTTGTCCATTTGACCTATAGCTGTGGTTTTCGTTTGTTGTGTACGGGGTAGAAGATATAGGAGATTGCGTTGCTGGAGGGTGAGGAACAGATGGAAGGTAATAGCGAGGGGTAGAAGGTCTAGTAGGTACATGGTTCTGAGGTGAACTCTAGATAATAAAATTGAGTCAATTTAAATGTTGTCTCACCCTGCCCTTGATGAGTAAAATAATCTGGCATTAGGCAGAGTAAAATATTAAAGTAGGGGCATATCAGATAGTAAGATATCACATATAGTAAGAAATATATATATAGGTATAAGGATAATAATGCTATTCAAAAATGTGAGTATTCAAAAACGCGAGTAGCGATTTTAGTTTCAAAGGACATGATGGAGTTGCTCTCTCTAATTTCGGTTGGTAAAGATACTAAAGAATTCCAAATGTGTGCCCCGTCAAACATGAAACTTTTTTCAAGCTATTTGTATGTGGCTGTGGTAAGCAAAGAGTACTTTCAACATCTCGAAGTTTATAATTTGTCATTTCACTTTTGAAAGTAAATAAATCAGTAAGTGATTTAGGACCCATTTTATTCAACAATTTAAACATCAGTTTGGACTTACCTGCAGAACCTGCCCTGCAGATTGTAAACTGTGCAAGCTTCATTTACATTAGACAACTCTAGATACATAATTTTCTATCTAAACTACCCTGCTTATTTTAAAAGCTTTTGAGGTTTACGTCTCAATCAATTCCATGGGTGCCCAACACACACACACACACACCCCCCCCCCGGGCATTTGTCGGGCTTTTGTCATTTTGGCGAAAAAACGTTGCAAATGCCCCAGTATGGGGTCCAAATAATGCAACAAAATCCCCACCCTTGGGGACTTATATTGACGCAAATACCCCACCCTTGGGGGACAAAATATAAGTTTTCTGAGGATTTCTGATCCAAAAAATCGAATCCAAGCTCTATCACGTATCAATTTATCTGTATTTAAAATCGATTCTATAGGCATTTCGTTTTAAAACGTTTTTAATTAAAATATTGAAGTCTCAAAACTTTATATAGCAATATCAAACTGCAGAAGTAAGTCAATGTATCAACAGGATGGACAAGAAAAAAGTCTTGTGTTATTCCGCCATGATTAATTTGCGATACGCACGCTGGTGTAAACATGCGTACTAAAGTACGGCTAAATGGCGAAACAAGCGATAAATATTCGACTTTTTAGCCTCGAGCAAATTCCCCACCCCGGGGCTAACCTGCAGAAAGCAAATGCCCGACCCTGGGAACAAGTACAGTTGAGAATGCCTGACAAACGCCCGGGGGGGTGTTGGGCACCCATGGAATTGATTGAGACATTAGCAAGTCCTCCATTCTTCATGGCAATAATTCTGTTCTTACCATTTGCGTCGTATTCACTGGCGGTGTATAAGATGGATACCCAGAATAATTGTATGGTGGTGGATACTGGTTATAGAACCTTTGGTAATATGGATACCCATAACTAGGCACCATAGGTGGTGGTACTAGAGGACTAGCAGGCACCATGCCAGTTGATGCTGTTACTATACCATTGGTGGTATTCTTGGGAGAAATTTTAGCCAAAGCTTCTCTGGCCTTCTTCCATTCAGGATTTTCCAGCGATGTCGACTCGGATTTGCTCACGCCTGGAGGGGAGGGTGGGCTTTCTCCTGGCACTGGTGGTTGAGAATTATACTGGCTTGACCTGAAATATTAAAGGCTTAATGTTAAGGCATGGTTATTAATTTGCCCCTTCTTGTGGAATTTCCTTTAAAACCCAGTAAATTTTACCAATAAAGAAGAAATCCCTGCTTTCTGGGGAGAGGGTAAAAATAAAATCTGTGTCGAAAAATTTCTGAAATGACCCATTACCAAAACTGTAATGTGCATGTTTTTGTGGCAAAACATTAAGGAATTCACATTCCAGAAGTCTGAACCTCTCAACAAAAAGTCTATTGCAAATATCGTACCTGCATGAATGATCATTGTTTATATAAAATATAAAAAATTTCAGCTTTATCGATGTTCATTGCAGATTCGTTTATTGCTTTACTAAACGCTTATTTTTACATAGAAGCTATTCCTAGACTTAAATATAAGTATATTCTTTTAAAAACCTTAGACTTTACACGACAGAACTCGAATAAATACACGAAACGAAAACACGAAAATCTGATAAAACAACCGCCCGACACGCCAACACGCACTCACATTTTCGACAAATTTTCAGTTCAAACAAATCCAATACTACGTTTAAAACTTACCAGGTCGCAGCGGCTTTAATGTCGCTTGTATTCATAACAGAAAACATGGCTTTTCTACACTATTCTAGCCAAAAATCTAACTTTTTTTGGACTATAAACAACTACCATGCAAAAAAAGTTTCCAAATTTTTCTTTGTCGCTTCGTTTCCAACCCTTGGTTTTATGACGTCACCTAATTATTAACCAATCAGATTGCTCCATTCTGAAACGATTTTCGGTCGAGTGACGTCATAATTATGAAGGGTCGCATTGAATTCTGGGTCCTTGGCCGCCATCTTGTTTTTTAGTTGAAAATATAATATTTTTCTTTCTCAATTTTGGAGAATTTTAGTGCCAGCTAAAGGTTTGTATAAATGTGATTTTGTTTTGTCCGATACGTAGTGGTGAATACAGATTACCATGTTTTTAATGAAATATGCTTTAGAATCATTTGTATGCCATATATTATAGACTGTAAACATCAAACTATATAAAATATTTAAAAAATAGTGATGAGTATGGTATTATTGTGCGAACTACCACTGGTTATTAGTTATTACTAGTCTCGAATGCGATCTGGAAACTTCACATTTTGCCGTACCCTGAATAATTCCTGAAATATGCACATGTCATCAAAAATGCACCTCAAGAATACGCCATCAAATTCTTGCATTCTGTTTGTTCGACTATTTTTCCCAAGGAAAATATCTTTCCTGTACAAAATAAAACTTCAGTCTGGGGTATGGTAAACTATAAAGTACTAAAGTACATTGTGATCCAAACTTTGTTACACAGCTAATTGGCTATCCACAGGCTTTCAGAAATTATTGGGGGGGGCCTCCCCCTCAGTGACTGCTACTGTTTCCAACCCCATACATGTATGTATTTACAGAAGTGGAAATTTGTTTTAATTTTTGACAGAATAATGGCTGAACAAATGCAGTTCAAGGTCGAGACGGCACCATTCGATGCAAGGTTCCCATACACGAACCAAGCACGGAACTGTTGGCAGAACTACTGTGATTATTTCAGATGTATTGACAGAAAAGGAGAAGATTTTGAACCCTGTAACTGGTTCAGGAAAAATTACCTTTCTCTGTGCCCAAGAAAATGGGTTAGTATTGAAGTGTTTTGAAAGTTCAAAGTTGACTGAATTGCTGGCAAATCCTTGCCTCAAATTTAGGAACAGTATCTGTGACCATTTGCCATTTAGGTGAAAAAGAGGTGTAGAAATCTGAGTTACCATATTAAATTTTTCTAAGAACTAACCCTCCCGCCTCAAATAACCCCCTGCTTCCTCCTAATACCCCTATTTTAGAAGATGAAAATGTGTCTATTAAGTCCCCCATTTCTATTAACCCCACTCCCCTTAAAGCTGTATTGGATAAAATTATCATATATTATGGATGACCCCCCTACCTGAAAAAATAAGCCCCCCTTCTTCATTCAGTCCCTCCCCCCCCCAAAAAAAAAAACCTTCACCCCCAATGAGGAACTTAATAGATGATTTATTGATGTACCAACTTAATTGTAATGATCACCATGTTTCATCCCTTTAGGTGGAAGACTGGGATTCTCAAAGAGACGAGGGGACGTTTGCGGGCAAACTAAAATGATTGCCAATTCCAAAGAACATTCTAATATTTCATATGAAAATAAAACTGCTTATATATTAAGGTTAACTGTGTTATTTACAAACTGTGTTTATTTAGTTATAAATGTGAACAGAAAATTTAAAGAAACACAAACAGTAAGAATAAAGTTCTTTTAAATCTCTTTACAATACTGTTTTTAAATTGGCAAAAGTAGGTCTCAATATTATAATAGACAATTCCATTATGGACTAATTTTAAAACTAGGCAAGGAGATGCAAATAAATCACCACAGCTAGAAAGAGCATACTAAAATGAGTAAAATTGCAAAGTTTGGTTGCGAAATGTTGTAAAATGCAGAAAATATAGCCTTGCAAAATTTTGTATACTTTTGTATTGCGTGCGGAAATTGCATTTTCGGCCCAAATGTGGTAGCAATTTCCGCGCGCAATACAAAAGTATGACAAAATTTGCGAATTTTGCAAGGCTATATTTTCCGCATTTTAGAACATTTTGCAACCAAACTTTGCAATTTTACTCATTTTAGTATGCTCTTTCCAGGAATATACTTTTTTTGCCAAGATAAAAAATTAATCTATATAATGGAAATTGTCTATTAGTCAAAGGGTCTTGTTGATGGAATGTATGAAGTGGAAATTTATATACCATTTTACTTTAGCAAAAATGTCCGATGTCCGACCGTTATTTCAAGCTCTGATATTGTGCGGTTCCAGTCATGACCCAATTTGCAACCCTATAACGGCATTCTGACGGTAACGATATAACAGCATTTCAATGAAGCAACCATGCGAACCTAATGACCATCAAGGGAGTCATTATCGGTCATTTGAAATGTACCGTTGCAAAATATACGAGCAGTTAAAGCACAAAGCATTGTGTGTTAACAACTGATATACTGTAGTTCATAACCAGTATTTATGAACACATAGTTACATGACAAGCGGTGTGTATTAGTTGTATTGATACATATTACGGAATTTATTTATAGACAGTTATATTTATGTCTATGCACCATGTTGCTCGAGGCTACCAAACAAGGTCGTATTTTCATGGTGAATTATCTTCTGGACACGAAAGGAGTGAATATAAATGAAACGGACAATGAGGGCCAGACCCCTTTGATAAATGCCTGTCTATTGGATGACAACATGGCCGCCACACGACGCAAATTAACCCGCTTATTTTTGGCTAAAAACGCAGACGTGAATCTGGCTGACAAATCTGGTAGAAATGTGCTCATGTGGGCTTGCCATTTGGGTAAAATTGACGTGGTCAAGATTCTATTTGGACGTTCGCTAATGGACCTTGATTTCACCTGTACAGATCGCGTTGGTGATACGGCTTTGCATTATGTCTCGTCCAGTGGACAATATACTCTCACAGGCATGTTGGTTGAAGCTATGAAACGTTTTGGGGTATGTATGCGTTTATTTTTTGTCGTCGTCGGAAAAAACAAGACATCGAAAGCTAGACACAACATGCGTGTCGGATGTTGGCGGGTTAGCTCTTGTACGCGCTGGCGTAGTATAGAAAAAGTTTAATTACACCGCAGCATCATTTCGCAAATTTTTGTGGATTTTCTTCTGGACTGCCATTTGCTACACGATAATGATTGGTAAAACGTAACTGTACTGTCTGTACTAACGCACAAATTGTTACAGATCCTCAAATGCTTCAAACAACACAGTTGTAACACGATATCGAGCCGATATCATCATGTGTTCGCACAGCTTATTCCCAGTTGTTGTGACAAGTCTGGAACAAGTTCTTTTCGCCCTTGTTACAAGTTTGATGACGGTAACAGACTGCTACAAGTTGTTTCAACAAGAGTAATACTGGCTTTGTAACACGTTCTTACCAGCTTGTTCTCATAAACTTGGTAACGGCTTGTTACATGCAGACTTGTTGGAACAACTTTGTTGCAAGTCTGCTGGCCTCTCAACCTTGTTACAAGATGATAACAACTTTGTTCCAGGCTTGTCGACAACTGCATGGGAACAACCAATGTGAACACAACTTGTTGACAAGCTGGGAGATTTTTATTCGTGTATAGATGGTTCAGTCAATGCTATCTTAATTAATGTTGCTAAACATAGCGGTCATCGTCAAATATATTGACACTTACAATTAAGAGCAACCAAATGATGGTATATCCTTCCATTAATATATTGACTATTTGCTTAATTGCTCAAAAAATGACTAAATTTACTCCGAAATATTCGGGGGTTTTTACAGTGATGTATAGTGACCAATTTAGCCCCGACAAGTATATGTTATCTTTTACACATGTGAAAATGGACAAGTTGTAACAAACCTGCAGCAGATTTGTAGCAATGCTGTTCCAACAACTTGTGAACAGGATGTGTTCGCACTGCTTGTTCCCAGCTTGTTGACAAGTTGTCAACGGTTTGTTGACAACTTGCTACAAGGTTGTTGAGCTCAACTGACTTGTTACACGTTGTTCCAGCAACTTGTTATCGTCCTATACAATTAAAAAAATTGTCAACAAGTTGTGAGTGACAACCTTGCAGCAACTTGATAAAATAACAGCATTGTTACAATTTGTTGACAAGCTTGCTGCAAGCCTGTTGCGAATACATCTTGTTGATACGTCGTGAGATTTTTACGTGTGTACGCACGTAAAAGGCACAAGTTGTTACAGGACTGCAAACAAGTTGTTACAAATCTGTTCACAAGCTGTCGACAAGTTGTGTTCGCACTGCTTGTTCCCAGTTGTTGTAACAAGTTTGGAACAAGCTATTAACAAACTTTTTGACAACTTGGGACTTTGTACAAGATGTTAGATTATTGTGGGTGCTGCGGACGGCAACACTGTCCGCCGCTAAGTAAAACGCTTTCTCGTAACAATATTTTAAACAGTCTTATTATGCTTCAAGGTATCATTGGACACACGAAATCACGACGGACTGACGCCACTTTTAGCGGCGACAAAAAACGGTAAGGAAATGTGCGCCAGAATTTTGTTGGAGACCGGCGCATCTCCAGATATTGTCGATCCTCATACACTAATGAACGTTAAAGAACTCGCAGAGAATGGCAAACTACAGTCACTGGTTGAACAGATCTCTATACGTAACCCTACGACCCAATCACGATGTACGTTTCCAAGGCAACCGGATGATGACGACATGAGATCGGCCATCGGCAGTCGTGAAGGTTCGGTGACTCCGAGAACCACTTCGAAACCGGCCGTAAACCAATCGGTGGCTGGCGTAAATCGGCCGAAGGAAACACGCTCGCCTTTGTTGAGTAAACGAAGGGAAAAGAAAGTCCGACTTGAATCGAGCAAAAATTCAACCAAGAAAAATTTCGGGAGTTTACTAGACATTGAACATCGAAATCCCATCGACTTTCCGAGAACTCCCAGCCCTCGTCCTATTAGCGAATGCAGCTCCCTAGCACCCGCGTCTCCAAGAACTCAGACAAAAAGCCCATACAATTTACGCGACCTTGGTTCAGTACTTTCACTCTACGGTGAACAACAGGCGTCCACTTTTAGAAAAGGTTTTTCGACCCCAGTCATGAGTACGGAAGAATTCCAGGACTACCTCGAAGAGATGAACCCAAAACCACAGTCCAATCGCAGCCATCGGTCATCGTTGACTCGTAGCTCGACGTCGAGTGTCGGACTCAGTCCCCTGTTACAACAACGTCGTCGCTCCGTTCTCCTTAAAGAATACAATCTGCATGGAAGCAGTGATGACCCCTCCTCTAATGACCGCCGCCACACTATAAGCCATAGTACTACTTCAAGACGTAAGGATAAACCGTTAGTAAGAAACCTCTCTGACCCTTTGATGCATTTAAAATTGCCTGCTAAGACCAATAAGACCAGTAATTTACGCCGGTATTCGTTAATGAGCTCCACTCAACTTTATTAAGCCTAGTTCTCATTCATCGCAAACCGTCGACGATGGGAGCTTTGCGACGTCGGCGACCGCTTGCCATTTATGAGAACACATCAAAAATTATATCGCCGATTGTCCGTAATCGTCGCCGACCATCGGCGATGACATCGCAGGAAACAAAAAAGTTTGTTTCTTGCGACCATCGCCGACTGCCACCTGCTTGAAAAATCCATGAGAAATGAGTAAAAGTTGTTTTTTCCTCTACAAGCAAGGAAATAATCAATTGAAGTTTGACAGAAATAATGAACTTTACGTTGAATGGGGCCATTTTGTAGGAAATTTGGGAAATTTCGAAACACATCGGCTGTCATCTGCGACGATCACCGATGTATGATGTCGTGCATTCGCGCTCGGCGAGTATCGGCGATAAGCGTCGCCGATCGTCAGTGACAGTTTGCGATGAATGAGAACTAGGCTTTACGAGAACGCAGCCAAACTTACACCTTCGTAGCGTTTTGAGAGATTTACGGCATTACTTTGCTTTTTGGCTACGTATACACTATATCGGATAGCTTTCCATAGCGGCGCGAAATGGCATCTATCCGATACGGAATGTACAACTCCCAAACGCTGAGCGAAACAACATCTTTCCGTTGCAATAATTACTCGGAAAATGAAGTGTCCCACAAAGTACGAATAGGTGTTTTCACGTTCGCCACGTACGAAAAGCTATCCAGCACGTGTTAATGTAGACTTAGACTGGCTAGTCGACCCCGCATTTCCTAAGCGGTGCGTTTAGGTCTATTTATCAGCATTCTTGCCATTCAAAGGTAAATTGCAAATGTGGATAGCAGGATATATTTTGTTGTAGCAAAGAAGCAAATAGTTCGCTACATTTTTTAAATAGCAGTAGTTGTATAGCTTAGTCAAGCTGACTAGATAATATAATATCGGATCTCCTTGTCTAATAATTTGATGAAACATTCTATTCCGTCACTATTCGTACATTACTTCGTGTACCTTTTGAAGTTCACCTAGCCACATGTACGCAGTGCGTACCTATTTTTGAAGTAGTTGTAAGTGAACTACAAAAGTTTGTAGTCAACGTGCTAGTAACTCACCCTTGATTTTCTTAACATAATTTCGAGTGCGCGAAATTAAGCCGCGCCTGCTATTTTTCAACTGAGCGAAAATTAATACCACACCAATTTACAATAAGGTATTAAACATTAATTTTTGCAGACTTTACTGTTTAAATTCCCATGTTTCATGTACCCATGTTTTCGTGAGTAAACATTCATTGGGGCAAGAATGCAATAATCGCGGTACACTAGCTCTATTCTCCCTGACTTTAATTAAGAATGCTGTTGCCACAGTTACTGTCAGACTACTGCAAACATAACTAATCCCGCGAATAATAATACCGTACAACAATGAGATATCTTAGGATTATCCCGTATTGATATATGAACAGGCCGCTGGTAGCAGTGAAGCGCGGCGGGGGCAGCCATTAAAAAAGGGTACTGACTTCTGTCTAGTTCTGAGTCCTAATTTTTGTGGGCAGTATAATCTTCGTTAAAATTTTGCTGTACAGATTCTCGATTACTTGTAACCAATATAGTTGGATAAATTTCGGCATTGTTTGGAACAATTTTATTCGTTGCATGACACTAAAGACTAAAATGCATTCTATATACGCGGTAAAACAACAAGCTTGTCAATTATTTAGAAAAGCTAGAAAGCCGTTTTCAAGTTTTTTTATAGCTGGAAACCTTGGTTCTGATTAAAAATTTGAGCTATAAATTGCTTGAAAATTTCAATTCATATATGAATAGCGTGCGACTTTCGTTGCGTAAAAAAGGCAACTACCTACTGCCCCGCACTGTTTGAGCAACGGGAACAGCCCCCATGATTCCAGCGCCCCTGGATATGGACAGGACGAAATACTGCAGTACTGCAGGACGAAATACTGCAGACTCAAATTGAAATTACTCTTCATTGCACGAGGCAAAACTATTACGAAGTGACTATATGACCGGCAGCCGGTCACAGTTTATCAAATACTAAATGGCCGGCAGTCTAGTGACTATTGTTAAAGTTTAATTTTTATAAGATAAACCTATCCCCAACCCCAAACCCTTTTCTAACCCTAACCCCTAACCCCTAACCCTAACCTTTTGAGAGTTAGAAAAGTCGGGGAAAAAAGTTTAAAAAATTTTAAGAAAAAACAATGCTAAGTCAGACAAAACACATCGCGACCCCGACTGCGCTTAACTTTCCGCACGCAGCGCCCTTGCCGTATGAGCTAACGGCAAGCTCGATAAAAGTTAACGCAAACAAAAGTTTTTATATTCAACTATAGTCACTAGACTGGCCATTTAGACCGGCCATTTAGTATTTGATAAACCGTGACCGGTTGCCGGTCATA